ACTTTTTTATCTTAATATTCAAAATTTGGGGGTTCTGACTGAGGATTTGATTTTGGGAAGAAATGAGAAGCTTAAATCTTTGAATGTATTGAGAAGAGTGGAGGAGATTTATTGGAAGCAAAAGTATATAACAAAATAGTTAAAAGAGGGAGATTTTAATACTAAGTATTTTCATTCTATCGCAAGTGCTAAAAGGAAACAAAATGATGTTTCTGGCCTGTCAATCCTTGGGGTTGATGTTGAAGATAATAATGAAATGGAAAGAGCTGTTGTGGACCCTATCAGGAGAGATTTTTCAACTGAGGTGAAATTCATACCAAAGCTAGATAGAATCCCCTTTAAAGTTGTGCCTGAAAAATTGAAATTGAATCTAAAAAGAGGTATCTCTTTAGATGAATTAAAAATAGTTGTTTTGGCTTTACCAAGTGATAAGACACCTGGACCAGATGGCTTCCCTTTGTCTTTCTTCCATAAATTTTGGAACTTGACTAAATTCGAACTATTGGAGATGGTCAGAGGCTTCATGAGAAGAGGGGAAATTTTTAAAGGGGTCAACTCTACTTATATAGCTCTTATTCCTAATAATATGTTATCTCTAAGCTTTTGGATATTAAACCTATTAGTCTTCTTACCAATCTTTAAAATATTGTAGCTAAGGTGTTGGCAAAATAGCTAAAGGTGGTGTTACCCTTCCTCCTTTCTAACACTCAATCAGCCTTCATTCAGAATCGTCAAATCTCAAAACTAAGATACTTGAAGTCATCTTTAAATTAGATATGGAGAATGCCTATGACAAGGTGAAATGTAGAATTTTGTTAGAAATAATAAGGAATGTGGGCTTTGGTGACAGATGGAGAAGTTGGATTTTTTAGTGTCTTCCTTAAGCACTTTTTTCTGTGTTTTTTAAGGGCAGCCCTATTGGTTTTTCCAATACCTCTAGGGGGCTTCGGCAAGGAGATCCATTGTCACCTTTTCTTTTCAGAATTTATGCTGAATGTTTAGTGTGATGATTCAGAGGGTGGAAAATAGTGGACTTTTGTAGGGTTCAAGGTGTCTGAGTTGGGGCCATGTGTATCTCATTTGCAAGATACTGATGATACACTAATATTTTGTGAAGCGAATGAGAATCAGGTAAAAAATATTATTGGATTTTTGGACTACTACGAGGTGGCCTTAGGTTTAAAGGTAAACTTTCATAAGACTTCGTTGATTGGTATTAATTGTTCTTCCTCTCAAATCCAAGAATTGACAAAGGTGTGGGATGTAGGTTTGGATCCTTCCCAATCTCCTACTTGGGTATGCCCATTTCATATGTGAGGCCTTATATTGTTGTGTGGGATAAAGTTATGGAGAGAGTTCAAGTTAAATTAGATCTATGGAAGCCTAAGTATTTATCGAAGGAAGGAAGGGTAACTTTCTTAACTTGCCAATATATAAAATATCTTTTTTGCAAATGCCAGCTTCAGTTGTTAAAAAAATAAAAAGAATGATGTGCAACTTTCTTTGGGGCTCCTTTGGAGAAGAAAGAAAATTTCAACTTTTGAGGTGGGATTGAGTATGTACCCCAAAGAGTGATAGAGAATTGGGTATTAAAAAAGTCAAGTCAGTAAATGAGGCTCTTTTATGTAAATGGTGGTGGCTCAGTTTCTATTTCAAATATTAACTATGGTATAAGGTTCTAGCATCAAAATATGGTCTTGATAGACAGGGCTCATGGTTAAGTGGAGGGAGACGCAAAGACATGTTGGCTTTATGTAAATCTATTTACAGATGTAAGCCAATGATTTCGGGATATTTTCAATGGCATGTAGGGAATGGAGAGCTTATCTTTTTCTGGCATCATAAATGGTAAGGTGCTCTTCCTCTCAAAATTGTTTTCCCTGAGCTTTTTTCAAAGGTTAGCTAACCTAATGCGAAGTTTGTTGAAGTCAGGGGTAATGTGATCTCTTGGAATATGATTTTTTCTTATAATATGTTGAATGATATCGAACTTTCCCGATGGACTGAACTGATGGGTATGTTGAATGAAGTTTACTTATCTCAGACAGCTGAAGATGATGTAATTTGGAAGGTAGAAAGCGATGGTGTATCCACAGTTAAATCGTGCTATAAATTGTTTTTTAATGATAGATGGATATGGTCTTTGCCTTCAATAGCAATGATATGAAAGCGGTCGATTCCTCATAAGGCCTAGGTTTTTATATGGTTGGCTGCTCAAGATAAGATTTTGACGGTAGATAACTTGATCAAGAGAGATAAGGTCCTTCCTAACATCTATTTGCTTTGTAAAGAAGATGGAGAATCTGGGGCACATTTATTTATTCATTGTTCTTTTGCCTCAAGGATGGGGTATTGGATGTTTGGGCTACTTAGGGTTAATGCTTCTCTACCCCAATCTGTGATGGGTGTTGTATCACAGTTAGCCATTCAACATTTACCATTTTGGGTAGTGTAGTATGGAAGATTGCAAGAGGGGCAGTCCTTTGGGAACTATAAAAGGAGAGGAATAGGAAGACTTTCGAAGGGGAGTATTTACCATTTGTTTGGTTGTTTTCTAAGATTAAATTGACCATCTGGTGTTGGTTGTCAGTTACAAAAGAAAGTTGGTGGATCATACAACCAGATGTTTTGGTTAATTTGCATAACCTTTTTTTATGGGAGGTTTTGAGACTAGACCTAGATGTATTTAGATTGCAACTAGCCTAGGGGGTCTCAAGTTGAACTTTGATGGAAGCTCTTTGGGGAATCCGGAGTTGGCCAGTATTGGGGGTGTTTTGCGTAACTATTATGGTGATTTCATTTTCTCCTATGTAGGACTTGTTGGTATAGCCGCTACTAACCATGGTGAGTTGCTTGCTCTGCTTCAAGGTTTGAAAATCTTCATATCTCGCAATCTTGGTAATTGTTGTGAGATTGAGCGTGATTCTTTGAATGTTATAAAATAGTGTAATAAAAAGCAACGGGTCCCTTGGGAGCTTAGATCTTGTTGGCTGTAGATTTTGAATTTAATAGACCATATGTCTGTTGCTTTTCTTCATGTATACAGAGACTCTAACTGGCTGACTCTCTTGCTGAAGGGGGCGCATCTTTGCCTTCTCTTTCTGTCTCTTCGATGTAATCTCCTTCTATAATGACTTTATTAATAAATGTTTGAATTTTGAATTTTGTCATATATATATATATATATATATTATATTATATTATATTATATATAAAAAGTATTAATATATTTATTATAGGGATTGTATACTATGAGACCAATTATTTTTTTTACAAAGAGGTCACAAGTGGTACTAGCCATTAGATATCAAATTGGACAGCTTGAGGTGTATCACAAAGTTTGAGAATTTGTTTTTTGAACTTGGTGTCTAATCAATGTTGCATACACAACTATCCAATTTGAAATCTAATAGACAAAAGTGATTGTGACTTTATTGTATTAGAAGCAACTTGAAAACAAGATTAAGGCGCACCTAAACAATCCATTAAAAAAAAAAGTTGTTTTGACATTGAAAAAATTTCTAATTGATCATGTTAACATAAAGATGTATGAATATGAAAAAAAAAAAAGTTTTGAGACCTAAAAATAGTGCATCTTGCAGCACACTATTCGGACTGTCTAATTTCAAGATTTTTAAGTGTTTATAGATCACCTTGATATGACTATTTTTTGAGTTTAAGATTTTATAGTTAGAGATGAAAATAGATTCTCAAACCATCTTAAGAATTTTTATACCAAAGTTGTAATTATGATAAAATTTGAAAGCCAGCTTTATTTTTTATTGTTTACGGTTGCAACCTTATACAAACCACACCCTAATTTATTTTAATAAGTACAAGTATCCAATATCTTTGCCATGTTGGAACATACATTTATTGCTCAAACTCTGTATTGGAGAGCTTCATGTAGTCAATGTAGAGTGTCATGGAAGTGTGGAAAAGAAATGACCGAGAATCTTCATGTTCATCTTCCACAAATCTGGTTTTTGATGGAACAGCCATGGACGTTTGATTTGAGCTGAGTTGATTGCCTTAAAACAAGTAGTGTTTCCCAAATTCTTAAGTCTATGTTAGTTATGATTAGTTAAAGTTTTTATGAATATGATGATCATTTGATAGAATAGGAGCACACCTAGTCATTTGATGATTAGTTAAATTTTTTGAGTCTCCCATAACAAGGTTAACGTGAGGTTTAAGCAAAGAGGCATAGAGTTTGCAGAAATAGTCATTTCATTTTTACGCAAGAGTGTGTTCTATACTCCCTCATAAGCATTCTATACATTTACTCCCTCAGGTAAAACACTACCTTGGAAAATTATTTTTGCTTTCGGAATCCATCTAGTTATAACTAGATGATTATTTTTAAAGAAAAAAATTTAGATTTTGAGTTCATAAACAGCTAGATCATTCCCTTTAAAAGATGGTTCCAGTGAAATCTTGGGATGATATTTTTTTCAGGCATATAAGAGTAAAAAAATAATAATGCCTTTTGAAGTCATATTCCGGATTCTAGAGGCCACATCCCCAAACTTTGAGATAAAAACATATGTCCCTAGAGTAATTGGAAAAAAACATTACATAATTGGAGATTGTGATGTAATAAAGATCTTAAGATTCAAGAAAATACAACATAAGCAAATGAAGGATTGCATTTAATAAAAGATTGCGGAAGTTTCCTTATCCCAGGTGATTATTGTTGTAAATCCCTTGATTCTTAAAAAGGCCGAACCTTTAAAATCTCCCTTAATATATTCAACAATAATATTCTAAAAGTTCGCAGAAAATCTCCTAAACTCGTGGGGATACTTCAATTCATAATACCTGAAATATTTTCTCGCAAAGATCAAGGTTTTAAAATGCTGGCCGATATTTTGGACTGGAGGTAGAGAACACACGCAAAAATCACAAGGCGACTGCTCGTTACGATCTCATTTGTTCTTATCAGTTTTTAATGGAATTGCAGGAATCATCCTTCCCCATAAATTCCAGCTACGATGATGCATACAAACATGAGGGAATGCTTAAGTGCGCATGTAACACAGATCTCTTCATATTAACATACACATACAATTATACGAGCAGGAAGCCAGGTGGAAAGCTGATACATACAATTTTCAGCATCTCCAATAGAAACACTTGCCGCTTTCTAGTACCAAATATTTCAAACTAGACTACTGCCATGAAAAAGTGGCGTGCTGATGATATCAAAAACCGGAGGTCTTATTGATGCTCTCTAGCGAGATAATGGCACCTGACCCATAACTGTCTGGGTCTCTAGATTGTGACAAAAGAATATAAGTAACCCAAACATGCAGGCAAACAAGATAAACAAGCGCATAACCTTGGGCTGTTCGGTTCCTCCTCAAAAACACAGCACCTGCAGAAAAAAGCGCATCCAATTGACGCAGCATAGACATTATATGGGGCATTATGGACCTCAATTCCTCTTGAATTGGCTGCCTTATCCTCATATTAGTATGATTATGAGCCCTGCCGAGCCCAACTTCAATATCATCATCCTTCCAACTCATTCCTGAACTACTTGCTGGATTCTCCAATGACAGCATGGATCTGTTATGGTCACTTAGTGACCGTGATGCAGCCTGTCCAGAAGGTAAAATAAAGAGTTAAAGAGTCATGGGCATTTTCCATATTCATTGCATGAGTCAAAGAATTTGCATATTGTTTTATGGACACCATACCTCGAGTCTAAGTAGCAGCATAGCTTTCTCTGAAGTGAGCACCTCAACCTAAGAAGAAAGGATGCAATTCAATTGTTAGCATTATGAATTCTTTGATTTATATCGATAATATATTTAATGGTCTGCGTAACAAGGCATCTTAGACTCAATGAGACAGTTCCAGGATATTAAACAAACAAATCAATCATATTATCCATGAACACATTTGCAGAAGTATGAATGTATGAATGGTGAACCTGAGCTTGTTTCTGTATTAGATGATCAGCGAGTATTGAAAGTCTTTTCTTAAGTTCAGACTCCACTTCAGTTGGATGTTCTGATGCTTCTCGTGTCATTAAAATGCTCTCTTCTAGTGCCTTTGCCTGTTCAGTACATGAAAAAGGGAATAAATCTCACATGGATTTCCAAGAACAGCATGTTCTGTTCACCATTTGATAATCGATAAGGTATTTAAACCAGAGATGTACTTGTAGAATACACGGTTGTAAAGAACAGAGTAAATGGTAACAAGCAGTATATCGCATAATGATGGAATGTAAAATGTAGTTCACCAAAGCTACAAAAGAACATAACCACAAACACTAGGACCATGTAACTAAATGCATTTGGCTAATGACAAATGCATTCCGAAGCCCTGAATGGCTAGTACAACACCTGCTAGGAGGTGCGAGTTAATTCAAGTGGAAGGCTCAAAAAAGGAAAGGGGTAGGCCCAAAATGACATGGTTGAAAGAAGTGAGAAAAGATATGGGGACTTATGGCCTCATTTAGGGTATGTGACCCTTGATAGAGCAGAATGGTGGATCAGGATTCATGTAGCCCACCCCAAATAGTTTGGAAAAAAGCTCCAATGATGATGATGATTCCAGAACCCTGAATGACATGAGATCGCCTCAGTCAAGTCACCTTTGGTATTTTTTTCTGAAGGTTAACTGTGTTTCATTAAGTTTGAACCAACCAATATGCAAGAATATTACCAATCTACAAAACTGAGCATTTACCTCTATTGTTGCACCAGCACACTTCAACACGAAGCCCTATAAATGCACCTACTACTAATTCACTTTGGTAATGATTATACAGAACTTTAGGCTCTCTGCATAAGTTTATCAATATAGAAGCACACGAAAGGTGAAATATTCATGAGCAGAGTGATTGGCGAGGTGAATTGGGAGGAATGGGGTGATTGGCATGGTGAATGTGGAGTGCACTGACAGCAAGGTCAAATGGCTCAGAGCGTCTGCACAGAAGTTGTGTAAGGTGCAAACGAAGATAGGGATATGAGGGAAGGCACACCGAGTCACCTGCATAGATCTCTCTCTGAACTAGAAGCACAATGAACTGTAAAGAAGCACATTGGAACTGTAAAGTAACAAGAGAGAGAGAAAGAGAGAGAGAAGCTTGTGGCGGTGAAAATCCCCGCTGCCCCATACCCCGCTCTTCTCTCCTGTAACTTTTGTAATCCACTTTCCTAGCTCTCCATCCCCCATATCTCTCCCTCCTCCCTCTCTCCCTTTGGGATAGAATGAGGGCCTTTTCTTCCCCTTTTTCCTCTCCCCTTCTCACAGGTTACTTATTCCAGTTTGGGCAAGTCATTCATGTCTCAAAACCTACCCTTGAAATTCATGTTCCACACTAACAATTTTCAAATCACAGAGGCCAGCAAATACCACCCCTTGATCCCCCCACTCCAGAAGCTCGATGACACTTAAGCAGAGGTCATCAGAAACAAAATCAGACCTGTTAGTGTTACTCAGAACCCTCAAATGTCTGTTTTGACCATCCCACTTCTATCCCTCCTACTACTCATCAAGGCCCCCACCTATGCGGCCCTCCTTTCCCCCCAACCCCCAACAAAAAAACAGAAAAAAACAAACAGCTAGCAAGATGTATCAAGGTCCTGGATGTTGTTATTTTATTGAAAGGATGGATCTCTTGAGCAATTCCCTGGGGATTCCCCACCCCCCGGCGCATTGTAATGAAATCAGAGGTATTTTTTTTTGGGCCCAATTTCTAAAAGATGTGACTGTGCGGAATTCAAGACTATAAAATCAAAATTTTTTTTTTTTATTATTATTGCATCTGAATACCACTTACAAGTGCAACAATAAACTCTGTAAATGAAGATTAAAAACCTTATGTACAAACTAAGACTTCTCTTTTTACTACCAAATCAAAAAAACACAAACCATAAATAAAACCCAACCCTCTACTAACAATTTAAGTACAACTAATGTTCTTAGAAATTCAGAATAATTACTCAAATATGACTGGAAAAAAAAAAAAAAACTGAACAGCCCGGAAGACTTACTCAATTACGCCTAGGGTCAACAACATAGGACTTGATACACTCCACACCAATTTCCTTACCAATGGCACACTTCGATCCTATTGGTCTTGCTGAATTTTCTTACCTCCCAAACTAGGATTTTTGAGAGCATAAAACACAATTAGGGTTTTATTAGAACCTCTTTTGAAAACAATTAGGGCATGCCACAAGGCACCTCCCTTTCCCTAGGGCTAGGCTTGCCCCTCTCTCTGCAAACCCTAATTAGGGTTAGGTTGCAACCCTCTTTTTAATGTATTTATGGTGGTGTGCCACCTAGAGAGAGAGAGAGAGAGAGAGAGAGAAAGAGCAATAAGATGAGAGAGTGGGCGTGGAGAAGAGAGAAGATACAAAGAGAGAAAGGC